TGAAGAAGAAGGGTGAGAAGGCAATGATCAGAGTGAGATGGCAAACCCATTGCAAGCTCTGGCTGTGGACATGGCGGATAAAAGTTTGCTGCAAACAAAACTGAGCACGATTCAAAATCCACTGCTCTCTCTAGATTACAGGTTTCCAACCCCAGGCTCTCTGAGATTCCTCCCACCAATTCTCTCGCAATTTCAATGGTTGTTTTGCAGTATTCTTCCAACATCTCTTTGCAACCAACCAATATTTTAGATTTACATGTTACAGATTAAACGGTTAAGAATCCCCCATTAAAAAAATAAGGAACCTATAATAAAAGTGTATAATAGACATGAACTATTCCTCTCATTACTAATAATGAGTATCTAGTGAAAAATGAGATTCGATCAAGATTGATGAATCAAGAGAGAGTCACGATCTTAACCGATTGATTTTGAGATAGAACCTCATGGATATGAACAAACAAAGAATATTGAGATCGTTTCAGCATCACCTGAATCTGGGAGGTTTAGTTGGGGAATGGAAGTTGGGATGAAGAAAGATTTTCAAGTAATCCCTCCAGAACAACACCTTCTTTTTCTGAGGATTGATGCTGGTGCCATATTTGATGGGGTCAAGAACATTCTCTGTTTTTGTACTCTGTCTTTTCTTCCTCTGTTAGATCAAAAAACTCTCTACAAATATCCATCATCTCCTTCATCATCCTCTCCTCCACTCCATGATTCATCACCTATTGCAAATGGGTTTCTTTTGAGAAAGAAACAGTAGTTTTTAAGTACTTAGTTTTGTCATGAGCTTGTTTTCAACTGGGCCTCTATAATTTTAAGAGCTTCGATTCCGTTTGCCTGGTCAAGTCTCACCAATTGTCTCTACATTAACATATTGAATACATGACACTTAGATACAAAAAAATGGATGAATTTTCTGGGCGGGTAAAAGATGGGACGCTAAAATCAAATTAGAACTTTGAGATGAGAAAGATGAAGTAAAAATTAAGTGAAAATTATAAAACCAAATTGCTTTAATCATTCCTACCAAATTTCTAGCTCTACCCCAACATCTACGTACCATGAAGAAACCCCAGTCCTGGCATGCCTTGCCGAGCTGATCCACGACTTTGGCTCGTTGATCGGGAGTACCCGTGGTGAGAAGAGAGAAATCAATGGTGGGGATCGAATCTCCAACACCTTGTGGAGCTGCATCGACAGCGCCACCGTCGCCGGAGAAGATGCAAGAGGAAGGAATGGAGGCAAAGTTGAGTGTTTCAGCTATGGTTTTGATGCTGGCCATTGCCGGTGGAATCATTCAACAGCTGTTTTACAAGGCTGGAGAACAAGAGTTTGAACTCAAAAATATGTTTAACAAGAGTCTTCTGGATTTGGTCATTTGGACATAATTTAAGTACTATGCTAATCTTAACAAAACGTAGAGAAAAAAAGGTTGATTAACAAAACTACCCACCACCTAATCCTATATATGTTTAAAAAATGAGGAGTTCTATAATTTGTTTGTCGTTTCTCGTTAAGAAATGTTTTAGAATTGTATAGAAATTTTAGAAACAGTAAAATCAAGTTTTCTATTTCTAATTTGTTTACCTAAAACATAGATAAAAATATTGTTTTATTATTTTTGACTTGTATAATAAATATAATATAAATTTTTTTAATATTTAACTTGAAAATGAAAAAAAAAACTAAGTTAAAATTTTAGAGAGAAAAAAAAAGAAATGTTATCAAATATATTTTTGTTTTTAAATAAAAAAAGGTAAGAAATAGGAAAAAGTTACCAAAAACAATATTATTTTTGTAAATTGAAAAACAGGAAACAGGAAATAAGGAAGCAAACACATTACGGGCCTAAATCAATCCAAACTCAAAATCAAAGGAATAATATTTTTTATAGATAATGAAAGGAATAATTTGAACATACATTTTAAACATAAGATTTAACATTATTTATATATATTTTTTGAAGAATTTCTTGCAAGTAATTTTTGTGCAGATTATTGCAATCGATGAACATGGTAGAAAAGAATATGGCAATTGATGCCTTTGTCAAATGCAATTATACCAAAGATTTTAAATGTCATAGTGATCACCGAATAAGAGAACTCTAACGAATACACTTATCTATCAAAAACAGTACAAATAAGATAATAAAATACGTACGGGAATACTTCCCTATTGAGTAGGTAGGAGAGATCGAGATTCAAAGTAGACGAATTCGATCCAAGCAGGAATCTTGGAGATTGCTGCTCTGCACCATTTGCATATAATCTGTGTATTTGATGTGCTTAAACAAAGGAGGATTGGTGAGTTTATTCAGCAACTGAGGTGCAGGACTAACCACTGTTTCAGGTGATGACCCAACTGCCACGGCTATAGACAACCTTGTGGCCTTATTGTTCACCATTGCTCTGTGTAAAACGCTCTTGTACTTCCCATTGCTCAAGATCTATCATACCAAGAAAACAAACTCAACTCGTCAAGTATTATTTACCTCCCTAAAGGTCAGAGATTCAAATCCTCCCATCTTTTAAAGTTTTCTTCCTTAGATTAGGACTCGAATACTAATTCGAGACCCATGACAAAATTTTAATCTTTTGAACGTATTCTCGGCATAATTAAACAAAAGAAAAAGGACAAAATGGATGTGTACCTCAAGTTGGTCAGCTACATTAACCAGAAATGAATTGGGAATGGGATTGACATCCACCCAGTTCCCTTGATGCAAGATTTGAAGGCCAGAAATTTGGTTTTGAAGAAGAAGAGTGAGAAGGCACTGATCAGAGTGAGATGGCAAACCCCTTGCAAGCTCTGGCTGTGGATATGGTGGATAAAAGTTTGCTGCAAACAGAGTTGAGCACGATTCAAAATCTACTGCTCTCTCTAGATGGCAGGTTTCCAGTCCCAAGCTCTCTGAGATTCCTCTCACCAATTCTCTTGCCATTTCTATGCTTCTTTTGCAGTATTCTTCCAATATCTCTCTGCAACCCACCATTCCAATATCTCTCTGCAACCCACCATTAGTTTAGATTTGCTCAGAATCCCACGTTGAAAAAAATGGGACCTTAAAAGGTTTATAATGGACATGAGTTATTCATCTCATTACCAATTGGTTTTGAGATGAAACCTTATGAATATTGATATGGTATCAGAGTCCAACAAACTTAAACAAACACGGTTCAAAAATGAGAATTCGGATAAGATTGATGAACCAAAAGAGGCACGATCTTGAGAGACATGTTAAAGATCCCACGATGAAAAGAAACAGAACCAGATTTGCACATTACATATTACACTATTAGTTGAGAAACAGAGTAAACAGAGAATCATTGAGATCATTTCAGCATCACCTGAATCTTGGAGGTTTAGTTGGGGAATGGAATTTGGGATGAACAAAGATTTTCAAGTAATCTCTCCAGAACAACACCTTCTCTTTCTGAGGATTGAAGCTGGTGCCATATCTGATGGGGTCAAGAACATGCTCTGTTTTGTACTCTGTCTTTTCTTCCTCTGTTAGATCAAAAAACTCTCTGCAAATATCTATCATCTCCCTCATCACCCTCTCCTCCACTCCATGATTCATCACCTGCATTCTCACTCTCACACTCCCTTAATCTCTGTTGCAAATGGGTTTTCTTTTGAGAAAGAAAAAATCGTTTTTAAGTATGTTTTGGGCATGTTTTCAATTGGGTGTCTGTAATTTTAAGAGTTCCGATTCGGTTTCTATGGTTTAGTCAAGTCTCATCAATTGTCTTTCACACTAACATATTGAATACGTAACATTTAAATACGAGAAAATAGGTGAATTTTTCAAGTGGGTAAAAGATAGGACGAAACCAAATTGAAACTTTTAAGATAAGAAACATGAACTAAAATCAAGTCAAAATTACAACATTTACGTACCACGAAGAAGCCCCAGTCCTGGCAAGCCTTGCCGAGCTCATCGACAACTTTGGCTCGTTGATCGGGAGTACCCATGGTGAGAAGAGAGAAATCAATGGTGGGGATCGAATCTTCGACACCTCGTGGAGCTGCCTTGGCAGCACCATCGTTGGCGGAGAAGATGTAAGAGGAAGGAATGGAGGCTAAGTTGGGTGTTTCAGCTATGGTTTTGACGCTGGCCACCGCCGGTGGAGCCATTCAGCAGCTGTTTTCCAAGGCTAGAGAACAAGAGCATGAGCTCAAAAATATGTTAAAAAGTCTTCTGGATTTGGTCATGGACATAATTAAAGTAATATGCTCTGATAAAAAAAATGTTAAAAAAGTAGATTAACCAAACCACTCACCACCTAATCCTATATAAAATTAAAAGTTGATTAAGTTGATTATCTATATTATTAAAGGTATTTCTGATCGATCTTATGTGTAGGAGAGTATTATTTAGACAAAGAATTTCAATTTCAAATTAAATACAAAGAAGTGGAAAAAGGATCATCTTTTCTTTTCTGCAATCACATCTTTGATCCGATCTTAAATAATCATATAATAAAATATAAATATTTTAATAATAATATGTGATTTTAAAAGAGATGAAAATAGATAAACATAAAAGTTCAGATTCGTTTAGATAAGAGGGTTTGTCCTACTTAATTCTTCAATACAGATTGTGTTTTTTAGAAAAATCTATTGCTTCATTTTGATCTAAATTAATTGCTTTTTCTCTGAAAAATAATATGAGATGGAGACATGCTTCTCACCTATCCTCGTAAGTTAGTTTTGTCCTTTACTAAACTTACACCATCGCATTAAATATGATATCCTATGTGTTTCTTGATAATTATAGAGAATAAATTGAGACATCTCATGTTTTTGTTAAAATGTTCAGACTATAAGTTATGATGACGACATTGTAAACTATTTTAATCACTTTAAATATAATTGATTTGATGATCCCAACACACCTCTAAATGACCAATTTCTCAAAAATCAAATACATGGCACTCAGGTAATGAGAGAAGGAAAATTTGAAAGGTTTAATATTAAGAGATCTTTTAGCACATAATCTTTGAAACACAATTGTAGCCTAAGATAAACTCGTCACTAAATATGTACCGTAAACTTAGTGTGAGAAATTCGAGTTGTGCGTAAACTGTCTAAATCTCCATTTAACCAAACTTGAAATATTTGTCTATAAGCTTCCTCGATCCGTTTTCTGACATTATCCACGACGACTTACATCAACTTTCCAAGCTAACCGCTCTTCATCAATGCCCTTAACTCATCTTTTCTTTTCGCCGTTTTTCCTTTTCCTTTTCCATCCCTCTTTTTCTTTTTCTTTTTTTTTGATCAGAAAATACTTTTTGTCCCTATATTTTCATATTTACGGTGTGTTTGAGAGTGATTTTTGCATGGCCAAAATCACCTTTATCTAGGTTAAAATCACTTTTCTATCCATTGATAAGGTTTGACAAATTAAAAATTTTAATTTTAGAAAATTTAAAATCAATTTAATTTTGATTTTTATGGTATCATAATATACTTTTGTCCTAATTTCATCTTGAAAAGGGGTCCTTGATCACCTCAAGAGATTTTTAGGCAAAATTAGCATACATAATTATTATCGTGAGGATTGAGCTGGCAAAAGAGATTCTCCTCCTTTTTTGGACTGGAAGATAATATCTATCCTAGTTGTCCATAGCCATAGGAAAAAAAGAAAAAAAAGTATGTCCATAGCCATAGGAAAAAAAGAAAAAAAAGTATGATGAAGCCAAATGCTCTTGGATGGGCAGTTTCATAGGGAGATAAATCCTTTTTTCAATGTTGTAGTCTATCACTTTGAGATCATGAGAAGCTCGTGAATTGATAGAATTATGGCATGCATCTCTGAGGAGAGTGGCACGGCCAAACATCATCTCAGAAGCGAATCAACTTATCATTGTCCGACCAAAGTCTAGTCTAAGTTCTATCGGAGACTTCTGTAAAAAATAATACCTTTTGTGGGTGTGTTTGAGAGTGATGGTAGAATGAGTGAATTTTGAAAGAAAGAAATTTAAGCATACTTAGATTTTTTAAAATCATCATCCCACTAATACGTTAAAAATCAACATTTTGTTAGAAAAAAAAAAACGAAATACACATGGGATGAAAAATGGAAAGAGGAGAGGTTACTTTTTGGGCTGGTCTCATGGGCCGAGTGAGTATGATATGGAAAACCCATAAGCTGATGTGGACAAATTTGTAATTTGGACTGGGCTGAGCTCAAAAAGCAGCCCACGAAATAAACCTGTAGTCTGATATTGTCCGAAATTAATTGCTTCTATAAATAGCTTAACTTTAAGACTTGAATAGTTTAAGTATTCTCTTGCATACACTTCCCTTCCTGCGCTTTTCCATAATAGCGAAATTTTCTCTCTATTTCCAACTCTGGATCTTAGTTTTCTCACAGTGGGAATTTAGGTTTGTAAGCACAATGTGCTCTGACTGGAATTTCAATGTTGTTGTGGTTCTTCTACATTGCAAGTAGAGGTTACTCTGTTCTCGCCCTTTCTCTTCTCCGTTTCATTTTGTGAATTTTAGTTCTCTCTCGCTAGTTTTTTTAGGGTTTTAGTACTTGATGCACTTTGTAATCTATTATCGTCTAATCGATATTCCAATCCAACGCCATTGTGGATCGCCCTACCTTGCAAGAAGAGGTTCCTCTGTTTTCTCTTGTCAATTCCCTCCAAGTATCTCATCTCCACTTATTGAATTAACCAATGGTATTAATTTCAATTTCTTTACGGGTGAGAAGTTTTAATTTCGACTTCAAATGCTCCAAATGGTTGAATTCTATAGAATTATTGGATGATTATTTTAAGTAAAAATTAATGTATTATTTTATGCGATTTTTTAAGGAAATTTTGTTTGATTTTATTGGGAGTCATTGATGATTGAAGGCTCAGTAATTGGTATTCTTGAGGCCCATCAACCCAAAAAGAGAGAGAAAGCAAATGACCGGTCCCCAATTTCTAAACTAATTTTCTCTTCAACACCCATCAATGAACTCTTCATCATTGAAGGTTCGTTGCAATAATTATCACAAAATTATAAACATGCAAAGAGATGCAAATGACTGTGCAACACCGTAGTAAGTGATATTGCAAGAATTTCAAGTTCAATGAACAAAAATGAGATAGATAAACATACCTCTAAGAGAATATCCATACCCACATCCATTAGATTTATTTTCAGCAACTTGACTAATTCCACTAGGAACTGAACTGTTTAGGTACCATTAATATCTGAAATAAAATGAAAAAATAAAATAAAATATAGCAATTGAGTGTTACAGCATAGGTCACTTACAGATTTTTGCTTTCTGCTCAGTGCTCATGGCTGCAAGGAGGGCTCCAAAATTTGCCACGACCGAATATGGCAAATGGAGAGCAACAATGGTTTGTAGGTGATATGTGCAATTAGGGAAGTCTTGGTTGATAACCAATCTAGCAACCACAAAACTACTATAAGAAAGTAAATTGCACTCCAAAAGGCAAAAACATTGAAGAAAGAGATCTAATACCCAGATTTGTCACATCAATTGATGACACTCAAGAGGGTCATGCCATTCTTTGTACTTGGTGGAAACTAGGAAAGACAAGTCAAGTCTGTAAGACAACCATAAACCAAAGCCAAGGACATTCACCATCTCACTTTCAAGAAAAGATTGACCTTCATCACCGGTTAAATTCTTCTTTACTCAGTGATGGAGAGTGAAAGCATTGATCTCACCATACTGTATTTTGCACAAGGTATAAATTCCAATCTGGTATTAACCATCTACGCTGGTAACTCTATATTTTAAAACAATGTTGGGTTATACATGTTTGCAGTAGACATTTCTTATTCAACAAACTTATAAAAACATTAAGCTATTATCCTGATCTTGGGCGGATAGCGGGAATCGAACCCGCATCTTCTCCTTGGCAAGGAGAAATTTTACCATTCAACTATATCCGCTTTTTTTATTTTGATCTGCGACGTATAGTATTCATCATTGCAGAGCTAACCTATATACTAGACTATTATATCCACCAGACAAACATAAGTTTTGCCAATTTTGATTCAAAGTCGTATCAATTCATATAACAAATTCTTAAACTTGTGTCCAGATTGAATCAAAACTAATTAGTTCTTTGTGTTAATTTCATAGTTAGGATTAAAAAACAAGGTTCACACGTTGATCATTTGCAAAAAAACGTGGGAACAGAAGAAAACAAAAATAAATTAAAGAGGCTCCAGCTGGACATCAAAACTCAAAACCATAATCATAGTAGTCCATATGAAGTATGCAAATATTTTCAGACATTATCATAACACGTGTTCAAAAAAATTTCACAGGAACTTAATACATGCTAGCTTCTATAAAATTCTAGAGTAAATGAGATAAATGTTGGGAGAAAACTTACCCAGCATTGCCAAACCCGAAGCCACTGCATACAGCTCGCAGACTTCCCATATCGTAACCAACAAAGGCTACCTCTCTTCATCCAGGTGGCTTCAGGTTTGGCCATGAGAATCTGAGTGGAGGGTTTGAAATTCTGGCAAATAGAATTGCGGCGAGGGGAGGACCTTCCATCCAATGCACAAAATCGTCGATCTCTCCCCGATTGAGAGAATCATACCATCATGTTCCGTACTTGATTTCATTCCGATTCGTGAAACCCTAGACGTAACGATCATCCAGGGCTCCGTAGTCGGAGGGAGAAGAGAGTGGAGAGGCGATCGGAGTTTGTAATGATCAACCATGGATTTGGTGTCCGAGTGAAGGGGATGATGGATGAACAGAACTATTTACTTCATTTCCGTTTTATAGCCCTCGAGTACGTGTCGACTACGTATCTGCGTAAGGTGTAAGCGACCTGGGTTTTTATTTTTATTTAATTCTTTTTCTTTCATGGTCAAAACTGAAATTAATAAATAATAGCAATAATAATTACAATAACCGGTCAGTTTTGTCAGAACCCAACCCGTCTGGACGGCTTGGTTTTAGTCCACTGTTGAAAGAAACCAATAAATATATATACATATTTAAGTAAAACTGTATTTTTTTAACCAAAAAGTAGAAGCTAAAAAATACTCTGGTTCCTGTACTTGCCTTGTAACAATTTAATTCTAACAAAAACTAAAATATTACCAATTTAAAAATATAATGACTAAATCGTTACCATTAAAATTCAGAAACTAGAAGGTGTGTTTGAGAGTGATGATAGGATGAGAGTGTGTTTTAAAATACAAAGAAAGATCAATGAGAACAAAAATGCATGAATGAGCAAAAGCTATTTTAGGAAACATACACAATTGAGTATTTCAAGAAACCATTACCAAATGATCCATCAATTTAGATGATAGGGCATATGAGCAAAAGCTAGTTTGAGTGTCGATGGCTAAAGACAACACCTTTACGGGAGAAAAGAAAGCTGTAAACAATCAAAACACATGAGAATGGTGAACAATTCTACCAGTTGAACCATTCAATCATGCTATACTAAATGATTGTGGAGCGCATTAGGAAACAAATATGGCATTGCAAAACAGGAATTGAAAATAATAACATCATTGTCCTACAAAAAACTAATATGACATATGAAAGGATACAAAAAAGGCACTTTGATGGCCAGAGACGGGGAGAATAAATATCCCTTAGCAGTGTAATTGGGTTTCCCTGCTCTCCCCCAATGTATATGTGCTTGAAATTAAACAAGGTCATCGGGAATTGTCTATTCCTCAAGAGTAGATAGCTCCATTCCACTGCCATCATTTTCTTGGTCGGTCTAGCTCCGAGATCTGGTAATGGTAGAACCCCTGGCTAATTCCAGCAATAACTTAACTCAAGCTGCTTCATACTCCTGCAGTACAATAAAGTTTTGCTAAAATTTGATAATCAAGCACAACGATATAGGTCTACTGATTGATCAAGCAACCTCTCTTCTATGAAAATTGAAAACAAATCTCAAACATTAGTTTCTGGTGGCATTTAAAGTTTGAATCACCTATTTTAAGGCTCCCTAGTTGAATTCCACCTATAAAAGAAACTTTTCACTTCCCTATAATCTTTGTCACTTTAATGTTGAATTCTTGTTATTTGTTTTTTACTAAACACAAGTTAAATGTGAATTTAAGACGAGAATGAAAGCGGACTAAAAATGAAATGTAGAGAGTCATGATAACATTTTAAGGAACAAAAGTAAATTCGAACTTTGAAGAGGGTTCATCCTTGCTTGTTCTTGTTGTAGAGTATACACCTGTTTGCCCTTCCCTTTCCCCGTAGTAGGGAGATCTTCATGAACTAAAACATCCAAAATAAACTTTCCTTTCACCTGTAACATAACATGAAAGTTTGTCATTGTTCTTATATATGTGAATCAAAAATTTGAGAAGCAAAAAGACAAGACCTGTGAATTTAGCATTTTCTTGCTTCGATGTTTTCGTTGAAGTGTCAGTGGATGTTCTCTCGTGAAGAAAGGGGGGAGGGGGTGATAGTTCTTATCCAATTGTAGTGACCCGTTTGGTTGGGATCCCTCTTCCACCTGAAGGAAAAGCAAGTAGGCCATGGCTCGACATAGCCAAAAATACCAACTGGTTTACCAAGTAGGCCATGGTTCGACCTGTGAATTTAGCATTTTTCTTGCTTCCATGTTTTCGTTGAAGTGGCAGTGGATGTTCTCTCAAGAAGAAAGGGGAGAGGGGGGTGATAGTCCGTACCCTATGGTAGTGACCCATTTGGGTGGGATCCCTCTTCCATTGGAAGGAAAAGCAAGAAGTAGGCCATGGTTCGGCATAGCCAATAACGCCACCTACTGCTTTATCAATTTTCTCGTTGGCAAAGTGAGAAATGGCACAGAATTCATTTGCCCATAAACCCTCGAAGCCTTGTTTCCAAATATTTTCACAATCTCTGTGAAGAAAGAGGCAACCATGACTGTTGGAACAAGGAAAATTCGGATTGGAATCCTAATTCCAGGAGGAGTTTAATGGACGGAGAAGTAGGGAGAGTAACCACACATGAGAGGTCTCATTATATTTCAATGCATTTCGGTAGAGTTAACTTGGATTCAGGATTAATGTTATTTATTATACTAACATTGAGGTGTGGTAGAAAACTTGACATTACAATTTAAATGTGATGACAAAAGTTCAAACATAAACCATGCTTAAAATATTTACCAAGAAAATACAACTATTTTTTTTGGGGAATTTTTGTGACGAAATGGAAAAATGTGGACTACTGTCCCAAAAAGTTGGGGAAAACAAGAAAAACATAAATAATTAAAAGAGAAGAAAAAGGAAGCTGAAACTGAAGACAAACCAGCACACCGGTAGGCAAGTCGGAAGCATGTTTTCCGAGGCAGGAAGGATCATTATCCATACACAACAGGGACGTGCAGAAACTATTTCAGTGGCATTGATCCCGATCCATTCCACAGAGACTCCAATACCCAAATTCACAAAACCCATCTGAACCGCCCAAAAATAATCAGAATGGAGTTGCCTGACAAGGGGACAAAAAAGAATAATCTGAGTGGAGCAACATTACCGATTGAGTAATCCATAATCTCAAGTCTTTCTTCTCTCTCTAAATAACCGAACTGTTAACTACTTTGTCCCGCTAGGACGTATCCTTCATCTAAATCTACTAAAATAATAATAATAATATATCATAAATAAAACAATAATCTGAATCCTCTCAACTTGAAATCAAAGACAGAAACAAACCTCCTGTGTCGAACGATCTCAGGATGATGCTTTGGGATGAGATTTCTGCGCCGACGTTAAAATTTTGATCAATCGGCAAACTTCACTGCGGTCGAAGCGAACACCTCCACTCTGTCGACATCTCATCCTGGGTGATCGAGTTTCAAAGCGGCCAACTTTGGATCAGAGATATTGGCCGTCCCAATATTATGAGATTGTGGTTTCCATAGATTTTCAGACGTGGGAGGAGGGAATTATCGTTTCATGAGGTGTAGGGGAGATAAACAAGAGAACGATTTATGGTCACTGTGGGATCTAACAAAGAGAACGATTAAAACTTCCATCGGAATGTGATAAAATGAACGATTTAGGGTTCCGGCAGGATCTAATCAAGAGGAGGATTTAGGGCTCCGAAGACAGAGACGAAAAAACTGGAAGGTGAACAGAGAAAAATGGAGTCCAATTTTATGTACTTCCAAGATCGATAATCGACTGATATGAGCGAGAGAGTGAAGAAGAGAAAACCTTAACTGGAAACCCATAAATGAGATCGAGGAAAACAAAGCGAACGATGGAGGGGACGTTTCTCAAACCAACCAGAAGCGACTCCGTACTTATAGCCGTTGGAGCGTGCGTGGAGAAGAAGCCAACTMAAAAWAAAAWRCKMTYAAWTTAARTTGACAGTACAGCATAACAAACGATGGGCCCCCTAATTCGGCCCACGGAGCCACGATCATCTCTCTCTCTATCCCCCTATTTCATTTACTATTTTGTTTCAAAATAGTTTTTCCTTAATTTATCATGTTGTTTGTGTGTGTGTATATATATATTCTCAAAATGAAATTATTAATATAACTATCAAATCAATCAAAATATAATTTAACACACAATTAAAAAATAAAAAATAAAAAACTATTTTTACTTTATTTTCAAATTTTTAATTATACAAAATTTTAATATTTCAAATTCAGACTAGTACGAATTCTAAATTATAATCTCATGACATATATCCCTCACTCTGCCTTCCTGCCTATAATATTTTATTTTAAACTATTTCTTCCATAAGATATAACAATATAATTTTTTTTAACTATTATTAATTTTTTAAAAAATTTTGTACCTTTATGAAAAATGTTACAAAAGGTACCTGCCAAATTGAGAGCTAAGAGATTACCAACCCTCCATATGCCCTGTGAAACAAAGAAGAGAATTAAAGAATAGATAAAACAAAGATGCTATTATCGTTAGAGAGATTAAAAAGATGTCATTCCACCTGTTCAGCAGAAAACTAAAAACAAAAAAGGAAATAAAACATAAGAAAAGCTAATATAATATGACCTTAGTGTGATGCAATGTCCTTCTGACCTCAAGACAACTGAATCTATGATAGTTCATCGATTTTCTGAAAGTTGAAATTTTTACACATTAAAAACAAGTTTATCAATCTATAGTACTTCTCAAATTACGTGTCATTCCGACCTCAACAACAACATATTTTACCGATCAATACAAACTAAAAATAAAAAAATGTCATGATAACTCAATGGCTCTGCACCAATCAGGTTCCCATAACATTATTTTATGATCAATCAGTTGAGCAAAGGAACCAATATTAATGTACACAAAGTAACACGCAATAATCGAAGCAACAACCACCACCAAAGGTAAAAAACAACAATGACCAATACAATAAACAACAAACAACGATTAATAATAATGTACTGAGCTAGAGAATCCATCAGTATTCAAAAATAATAAAAAAAAAGATAGAGAATGCATCATCAAATCCAATGCTCCCCTTTCAGATGGGACTATGAGAATGACCATCTTGAACAAAAGAGGATTGAATAGATTGACCTAGAAACTAGCTATAGAAGTAGTCAAAACAAACCAGCCAAATAGAGAAAGAGAAGAGGGAGGAGATAGGTACTGAACAATAAATGGAGAAAAGTCATGTACTTCTCTTCTACAACCAAAAATGCAAACCTTAACAAATAACCACTACAGAAACCATCAATTGTAAGGTATTGAAAGAGAAAATGCAACAATAAATCCCATACTGCCCCCTCCCCTCCCCCATCCTCCAGAGCCACCACAAAATCTACAAAGAGACCATAGAAACAGCCAGAACACAAGAGAGAAAGACAACAACAAACAAAGCATGAACCCAAAAACCTAAACAACAGAACTTTAACAAACACAACCATAAACATTCTCAAACAAAAGTAATGGGAGGGCATTCCTCATCCAAAATTAAAGAAGCTAACAACTACTAAATCTATATAGTTCAGTGGTAATGGTAATAAAAATAAAATAATGAGAAGTAATGGGCCCAATCCCTGCCGGTACCTGACCTATTCGAATCGGAAGATACCCTGGGATCAAACCAAAGACTAATCCAAGATGGATCTCTCAGCCTAAAATAGAGGCACAATATGGACAAAGAAACCATAAAAACAGCAAGAACACAAGAGCGAGACAACAACAAACAAAACATAAGCTTTCATAGTTAAAAGACACCGGAAACAAAGTGCTTCCTCCCCTCACACATTAAACAGCATATTTTACCAACAAAACAACATCAAACTCCAACAAACTAAACATTAAAAATGTCATCGTGATACTACAATGCTCCCTTACATCAATCTAGTTACCCACCACATTAACAAAAACATCTAGCAAGAACTAGTAAGCAATAGGTTATGGAGGGAGGGAGGCAGGAAAGGAGAGAAAGAGGGAGGGGTGGAAAACAGAGAGGGGGATAGGAACACAAATAACATTGAAACACGATGGAAGGGAGGTGGAAGATAGGAAAGGGAGGAGTGACGAGAAGCAGAGAGAAAAAGAGGAAACAGGGAAGGGAGAGAGAAGAAACGAAGGGAGGGAAAAAAGGAGGAACAGAGGAAGGGGGAGAGAAAAAATGGAGGGGAAGAATAGTAATTGTAACATGTAGCAGAACAATAATCGCTAAATCTATCTAATTAAACAAATAGAATTAATAACAAATAATATTGGAACACAATCCTCCAATAATTGGGAGGGAGAAAGAGGGAGGAAAAGGAGGAGAGATGACGAAGAGAGCGAGGGAGGCAGAAATAGAGGGCCGGGGAGAGTGAAAATGGAAGGGAAGAGAGACAACACAAAGACCAAGTACTCCTTCCAAATATAAAACAATAGTTTAGAATAGTTGATTCACACGTGTATGTCCTCATTTTACACTATAACAACATCCAAGTCAATACAAACTCAAGTTTAAAAATGTCATAATAATACATACATTGGTTCCTTGCATCAATCAATATTGCATTGAATAACTAAAAAAAGCACAGTCTATAAGTAAATTAGGAACAAGCAGCTAAAAGATTGTACTTAATAAATAATAATCCTAACCAAAACAACTAACTACTCCTAAATCTACTTAATTCAATAAATACAAACATTGAAACACGACACTCAAATAATGGGGAGTGAAAAAGAGGGAGAGGGAGAGAGGAAAGGAGGAAGAGATGGATAGGGGGAGAGGAGAGGAAAGGAAACGGGGAAGGAAGAGAGAAAGGAAAGAGAGAGGAGGAGATGATGCAGAGAGAGAGGAGGTGAGAGAAAGGACGGATAGAGAGAGAGAGGAGAAAAAGGGAGGGAGAAAGAGAGAGAGGATATAACAAAGGGGGAGAGAAAGGATATAGTGGAGAATAACAAAAACAGCTATATGAAGACCTTTTGCAACAAATGAAGAATAACAAAAACAGTCAACCTCTGTAAAGAAGCAAGAACAATAATTGTAGCTATGGACTATATGAAGACCTTTCACACTCACTCTGTAGACTAGAAGCTGCAACCCTCCCTCATCCCCCCAAAAAATAATAATTTAACAGACATGTAGACAAAAGGAGTGAGAGAAAGAGGAGATAAGGAAGAAGAGCAGGAGGGGAAGAGAAAGAGAAAGGGAGGAAAAGTGGATTCAATAGCTTGGTTGCTATTGGAAGAGATTTTGGCAAGACACCTCGACATAGAGAAACCACTAAACAAGCAATCAACAAACAAACCAACCCCAAATAAAGATAGAGACAGAGAGAGAGGAGATAGGTATTAGAACAATAAATGGGAAGAAAAATATCTATATCATTCTCATCTAAAACCTAATATACAAGGCTTGAATAATAACTATAACAACTAAGGGACAATTCTAACC